TGACAATAGAGTTGAACAACTATGGGTGGATATCAACTATAAAAATAAGTCTTTTTCAGTTGGTACTTTGTATAAACCCCCACTGGTCAACTATAACTACCTATCTAGTTTAGAGAATATTTTATCTAGTTTGTCCTCATCATAATATGACTACACAATTTTAACGGGTGATTTAAATATAAACTTTCTTACTAAAACTGTTGACTCTGATTATATGGAATCAGTGTTAGAAATTTATAATTTGAAACGAATCATCTCTGAACCCACTAGAATAAGTAGAAATAGTGCAACTCTAATTGATATTATTTGTGTCAATAAGGGTGTCAGTGTTATTGAGTCAGGAACATTGGGCATGCTTAACCTAACTGATCATAGACTTGTGTACTCTTTAATTAGCAACAAAGCTCCCAAAATAGATGATAAGGTTATATCTTATAGAGATTTAAAGCACTTTGATAGGAGGCAATTTGAATTAGAGATACAGGACATAAATTATGAATTTATTTTGGGCCATGAAATGTTGGATGACAAGGTAGCTTGTTTCAGTAACGAGCTGGCTGGCATCTTCAATAAACATGCCCCAACAAAAAAAGCAGTTATTAAAAAAAAGTATAAACCTTACATTACTGACACTATTAGGCAAATTATTAAATTAAAGAAAACAGCATTCAATAAATTTAAAAAAACTGGTCAAATTGAACACAAGCACTTTTATCTGGACATTAAAAACTATCTATCTTTTGTAATTAGAAGTGAAAAGAAGGCATACATGTCATTTGAACTTCATAAACATAAAAAAGATACAAAGAAAATTTGGAATAGGATCAATGATTGGAATATCAAGGTTAATAAAAACAGTGAGATACCTATTCATTTGAAAGATGTCGACCAAATTAGTAACTCTTTTGCGAGTGTATGTCAATTAGCTACTCCGATAGACAATTTACTAATGAATTTTTATCAGGGCAATAGGCTGGAGAGCCTTAACAATGGTGAGCTTATTTTTTAAAATATTTCAGAATATGATATTTATAAGGCATTTAAAAGAAGTAAATCTAAAAGTATGGGTATAGACCAAATAAGTTCTTTTTAGCATTGATTGTATTGCTCCGTTTCTAGCTAATCCACTAAACATGTAATGTTGCAAAATTTGTCAGCAATATTGTATCGACCCTTCTTTAGAAAATTTAATGTAAAAGTAATGTGACGGTAAGCTTTCTAAAATATTACTTATCCAATGTGAAGGGATATAAATTTGATATAACTTCAATAGAGAAACATTCGTTTTAGTTATCAAGTAAATTTTGCAGTAGATACAATAATGTATTACATTTGAAACATTATAAAATGTAAGTAAAGCAAATATTATAACAATGCTATGAAATGTAACTTTTCTCAACTCATTCGCTTTAATGTTGCGGAAATATTTACGTTTGTAACATTGAAAATATATAATAAAATAAATGGTTGCATAAATATTATAAGCTCAACTTTTCTTAAAACTGTCGCTGTAATGTTGCAGATACCTTTACATGCGTACGTTAACAGTTTCAAGAATGAGAAACGTTACCTAAATATTTCAATATAAACTTTGGATTACTTTGGCATAGGAAACATAAATTTTCTCAATGTTGCATAAAGCTTGCAGATAGACTTTATTTGCAATATGCTATCCTTATCTTTGTCATGCAAAAATATATTTGACTGACAAAGACGGAAAAATTATTTGGGAATTCGGAACGCTTGTACAGAGGACGCAGACGACGCTTCTTTTTTCTTGGCTTGATAAATAATACAAGAGAATTGAAAAGGACGAAAGGGTTCATCAAGATCTTGAGATGTTGGGAGAGGAAGAGAATAAAGCCAATGTTGTGAGATTTTAACATTTTAATTTTTTGTGATATTTTAATACTGTTTAATTTTAGGTGGCGTTTTTACAATACCTATGTTGGAGGAATCGAGGCATGTGTGATAAGATCAATTGGAAATTGGAAGTTTATTAACTAACCATTGTCCCGGTCTGTAGTTGGACTGGCAGAAAAGGGAATTTGAAAATAAAGGATCTTGCATTAATGCAAATCCTTACGATATATTAAATATCTATCATATATACAATATCTCATTATGTAAATTTCTGTACGTACCAACGTACAGTACCAATAAAAATATTGCAACTGTAATATTTTCTAAACAATGTTAAATGCAGGTTTCTGTAAGCTAGCATTTTTAATGTTACAAACGTAATTTATTTTTTATGAAAATACAAGTTTGAGGCGATATTGCAGAAAAATTTATTCTGTAAACATTGCATTTGTGAATATTGGAATAAGTCCGTTTCAGTAATTGCAGCAACCTTGCACTTATATAGCAGCAATAAAAAATGAAATATTACAATATTATCTAGAAACATTACTATAGTTATTTACCTAACAAATGCGGAAAGTGATACTTTACCGCACGCAACGGCAGCCGTTAAGGGCGGTAAAGGCACTTTCCGCATGTGTTAGGTACAAAATTTTACCTATGAGCATCTACATCTCCAAAAAAGTGCATTGATAAAATTAATTATTGAATCAGATTAATTAATGAAATAAGATTAGATTTAGAAATTATCAAAAATCCATTTTCTGGAAAAAAAAAGGATTTTTGATTATAAATATCAAATTCTACTTTACCGCAACTATGCGGTAAAGTGCACTTTACCGCACACTTTGAAGTCCACTTTACCGCATACTATGCTGTAAAGTTAACTTTACCGCACACTATGCTGTAAAGTTGACTTTACCGCACACTATGCTGTAAAGTTGACTTTACCGCATAGTGTGCGGTAAAGTGCTACTTTCCATTTGCAAATACGTGCAGTAAAGTACACTTTACCGCACGCTCGTAGGTAAAAATATTAAAGCGATATTACATTGCTTAGTGGGAAGCTATTCAATATATCCTTACAAACGGGGGAATTTCCAAAAATGTGGAAGAGCGCCATTGTTAAGCCTTTGCCAAAGAAAAATAAAATTGAAAATTTTTCTGAACTAAAGCCAATCTGTCTCTTACCAATATTTGCCAAAATGTTCGAAGTACTAGTGTCTGATATGCTGCTTGAATTTGTAAATACCAATAATATTATACCAGCTGTGCAGTCTGGCTTTAGGAAAAATCATGGAACTGCTACTGCCCTACCAAAAGTGGCTTCTGAAGTATCAACTAATATTGCCTCATCAAGGGTTTCTTGTCTAGCACTGCTAGACCATAGTAAAGCTTTCGATCTTATACATCACGACATGCTTGTGGCTAAAATGAGGTTCTATGGTTTTTCAGAGGCTGTCTGCAAATGGTTCAAGAACTACCTTCTACTAAGAACACAGGTGGTTGAGCTTGATGGAGCAAAATCTGAGCCTGTAACAACTGGTTATGGAGTCCCTCAGGGAAGTGTACTTGGGCCATTATTATTTAGCATTTATACTAGCGATCTTCCAAAGCAGGTTCGGTTTTGCTCCATCAATCTCTATGCCGATGACACGCAGCTCCTGTTAGGTTTTGCTCCTCAGGATGCCTGTGTGTGTATGCAAAGAATAAATGACGACTTAGACTCGATATTTATATGGTCAAGTCAACATGGATTGGTTCTAAATGCTAGTAAGAGCACCATATATGATTATGGGCTCTAATTTGTCAGAAGTCAATTTTTGTGTTTTAATTTCACTACACTGCACATAAACGGTACTATTCTACCTAACTCAGAATCAGCAAGAAATCTGGGTTTGACTTTCGACGAAAGTCTTAACTTTCAGGTGCACGTCAACAAAAAATTGTCATGTGTTTATGCTGTACTTAAGAGTTTGTACCGTAAGATAATTTACCTCGCAACATTAAATTGATGTTAGTGGAGACTCTTATTTGGTCACAGTTAGACTATTGCAATGCTGTCTTCTATAACTACCTAAATGTTGAATTTAAAAACAAAATTCAGTTAGCTCAAAATGCTTGTATGAGATTTAATTTTAGCATTAGAAAATTTGACCATATTACGCCAACCTATGTAGAGAATAAGATACTAAAATATGAACAGCGAGTAGCCTTGCACTTTGGTCAATTTGTTTATAAAATTTTTCAATCTGGTTACCCATCCTATCTCTCAGAATATCTTATAGTAAGACAAGACCTACACAGTCGCTGTCTGAGAAACATTATACGATTTCAAATACCACGGCACATAACCGAAGGTTTTAAAAACTCATTTTCTTACCGAGCGGTACAACTACTTAATACAGAGGTGTATGAATTTATGATTTCAGGTTCACTGGTAAACTTTAAAAAGAAGTACAAGGCTTCTCTGCTGGAATTAATAGCGTAGCTTAGAATAGGCATTGAATTCTTTATTTATTTATTTATTTTTTTTTTTCGGGTAGCATGGAAGAACACATTACGTGAATGTTACCTTTTATGTAATTTCTTTTGATGCATAATAAACGTTATTATTATTATTATTATTATTATTATTATTATTATTATTATTATTATTATTATTATTATTATTAACCTTGTCCATAACACCACTAGTTGTGTTATGAGCCTCATGAAATAACTCAAATACTGGGAAAATAGTTATGTAAAAACTTCATAACCAAACGCTTGTAGATAAATTTTTTTATAATGGATGTTTAGGCATATAAAATGTCTAACAAGAGAGTTGAGGGATAGGATAGTGTTGAGAACCTTAATTTGAGTATTTGGACTTTTAGAAGTTCACTATCCGAGATTGCTAGCATTTTGAATAATTTCCTACATCATTAGTTGAGTATTGTGTTTTTACTTTAATATAGGTTACTTTGACCGTCGTGATCATGGAGGCGTCTCCCTTTTGTCAGTATAAATTAGTTCTTAGCATTATTTCTTATCTACTGGTATTATATCTTCTTATCTTTTGTTATTTTTTTGTTCAAATCCATTTTAACACTCAAATATTTTGCTATAAATTAACGCTTTATTTGTATGTACTTGTTAGAATACCCTAACATACAATTCCAGGTAAGCTGTGCAATATCGTAGCAAATGTCTTTATTATAATGTTTTTTTTTTTAGGGATCATGAAGACCTTCATTATATTTGTTGCTCTTGTGGCTGCTGTTTCGTGCTCTGACGAATGTTACAGGGATGTCGTTGCTATTTGTGACTTATCTTCGGAAGGTAAGTATTTTTTTTTCTTTTTTCAATTTCCAAGAAAATTCAATTTAAATTAACTGACTGACGCAAAAAAAGAATAGGTATAGTATTTTTATTCTGATTTGGAACACTGCATTACACGAGGATATTTCAATATCACGGCGCTTTCTTCTATTAGCTTCATAAAAAATCTATTGTAAGTTTATATACCGTTCCTTGTACAAAATTGAGCAGGAAGGAAATATCGCTGCAGTAGCCCAAAGAAATAATCAAGGTGGTACGCGCCTATAGGACGGTTGAATTATTGGAGTGAGCTACGCTACTTGCGTCTCCCCAGGAAGTAGGAATGTTGCCGGTGCACCTGCTGACTAGCATAGGCGCAACTAGGGGGGTGCTAAGCACCCCTAAAGCAAAAATCAGCACTCCCATTCGGCATCCCACCATAGCACTACCTACAGTGGCACTACCTACCTAAAACTAATATAAAAAACCGATGCAACCAAATTATTTATTTATTTTTGTACTTTTTGTACTTACTTACGTCATCGGTGACATCATAATTTAGAAATTTTAGATTTTACTATCACTTCTTCGCAATTCTAAAATAACTTTTCCGCGATCGTAAACCCACTTTTCCGAGATTCTTATCTCACTTTTTCACGAATTTACACTCACTTTTTTTGAAATTTTTGACTCATTTTTTTTTGCGATTTTTCACCCACTTTTTTGCAATTTTTTCTTCACTTTTTTGCGATTTTTGGCTCTTTTTTTTCGATTTTTGACTCTCTTTTTTTGCGATTTTAGCCTCACTTTTTTGCGATTTCACCCTCACTTTTTTGCGATTTTACCCTCACTCCTCCGCGATTACGAACTTATTTTTCCGCTATTTCATCCTCATTTTCCCACGATTTTATCTTCACTTTTTTTGCGATTTTTGAATAATTTTTTTTTCCAATTTCTGACTCATTTTTTGGCGATTTTACCATCACTTACCGCGGTTCTAAATCCACTTTTTCGCGATTGTAAACTGTAAACCCACTTTTCTATAAATATTACCTCATTTTTCCGGGTTTCTTGCCTCATTTTTTTTACGATGTTATTTTCACTTTTCCGCGATTCCTATTTCATTCTCCGCGATTTTATCCTCACTTTTCGTGACTTCATCCTCATTTTTCCGCCAGTCTCATCTTACTTTTCCACGATTTTTGACTCTTTTTTTTTGCGATTTCATCGTCATTTCAAAATTACGAGAATAACGATAATTTTTGAAAAGTTACGAAAAATTACGGGAATTACGTTAAAGTACGTAAAATATGAAAAATTATGAGAATTGCAAACATTTACGAGAATTACGGAACATGACGAGAATCACGGAATAACAAAAAATTGCGGGAATTACAAAAATTATGGGAATTGCCAAATATTACACAAAAGAATTACGAAGTTACTCCAAAATTACGTTAATTATTTAAATATTACTAATTTTTGAAAAGTTACGAAAACTAACAAGACAAATTACGGGAATTACGAAAAATAATGGAAATTAAAATGACGGAAATGACGAAAATTTACAAGAATTATGAGAATTATAAAAATTACGGGAATTAAGGAAAACGCGAAAAACTACGAAAATTACAAAAATTACGGGTATTACGAAATATTACAGGAAAGAATTACAAAGTTATTCCAAAATTACGTGAATTACGGTAATTCTCAAAATAACGGAAATCACAAGTTTTTGAAATTACGAAAATTACAATAACTGAGGGAGAATTAGAAAACTCCGAATTTTTTTGGAAATTAGGAAAGTTGAAAATTGAAAAATTGGAAATACAAATAATTACTGGAATTACGAAAACATCACGATGCGAAAAGCACGAAAAATTGCGGTGAATAACGAAAATTACCAAGTTTTCCAAAAATTGAAAAAAATAAGGGGGAATTAAAAAATAACAAGAATTATCTGAGAAATGACAGGAATTAAAAAATTTCGAAAATCCTCAAAAAAAAAATACGGAAATTATCAACTTTCGAAAATTTCAAAAACTTAGGAGGAATTATAGAACTAACGGAGTTTTTATGAGAAATTAAGGAAATTAAAAAATTACGAAAATAATGGGAATTTCGAGTTTTTCGAAAATTGTAAAAACTAAGGGGGTATTATGAAAATAACGAGAATTATCTGAGAAATGACAGGAATTACAATATTTCGAAAATTCCCAAAATAAAATACGAAAATTACAAGAATTACATAATTTCGAAATTATGAAAATAACGGAGTTTTCTGAGAAATTACAGAAATTAAAAAATTACGGAAATCTGAAAACTACACGAATTATTCAAAAATTATGAAAAATACGAAAAAATCACGGGAATTAAAAAAAATTGTGACAATTTTCAAAAAATTACGAAAATAACAAGAATTACAAAAAGTTACGGGATTCACGAATTTTCCGAAAATTATAAAAACTAAGGGGAATTTATAAAATTAACGAGAATTTCCTGAGAAATGACGGGAATTTGAAAATTTTCGAAAATTGCAAAAAAAAAATTACGGGAATTACCAATTTATGAGAATCACAACAAACTTGGGGGGAATTATAAAGATAACGGAGTTTTTTGAGAATTTACGGTAATTACAAAATTACAAAAATTTGAGGAACTACAGGAATTATAAAAATTGAAAGAAATAAGAAAAAATTACGATAATTTTCGGAAAGTTACGGGAATTACGAAAATTACGACTTTTCTAAGATTTGCAATGACTAAGGAAGAATTAATTATAGAAATAGGGAGAATTATCTGAGAAATTACGGAAATAATGAAAATTCACAAAAAAAAAAAAAATTGATAATTACGGGAATTACGAATTTTTAAAAATAACAAAAACTTAGAGGGAATTATGAAATAAGTAACTGAATATTTTCAGAAATTACGGAAATTAAAAAATTACGAAAATCTGAGAAACAACAGGAATTATTCAAAAATTACGGGAATTACAGAAAAATTACGATGAATTTTGGAAAGTTACGAAAAATTAAGGAAATTACGAAAAAGTTATGGGAATTACGAAAATTACGAGTTTTGCGAAAATTGCAAAAACTAAGGAAAAATTATAAAAATAACGAAATTTATTTGAGAAATAACGGCTTTTAACAATTTTTTTTCGCATTTCACCTTCACTTTTCCGCAATTTCAAAGTCCAAACTCACTTTCTCGCAATTTCAACAAATTTTTCCGCAAATTTTGCCTCACTTTTCCGTTATTCTTGACTCATTTTTCAATAAGTATAACCTCACTTTTTCACGATTTTCGCCTCACATTTCCGCAGTTTCAACCTAATTTTTCCATAATCTATACTTTTGTTTTTCGTATTTATAACCTCATTTTTTCTCGATTATAACCCTGCTTTTCCGCCTATTTTACTCAATTTTTTCGCAATTCCAACATTTCCAACCTCATTTTTCTGTAATTTTTACTTCTATTTTTCGTAATTGTAACGTCACTTTCCTGCGATTTTGACACTTACTTTTTCGCAATTTTTGAAAAGATACGGAAATTACGGAAAATTGCAGGAATTACGAAAAATTTCTGAAATTATAAAAATAAAAAGAATTACGAAAATTACAAAAATTATAGGAATTACGAAAATCACGAATTTTTGAAATTATAAAAATTACAAAAAATTACGGGAATTACGAAAAAATTATGATTCTTGAAGTTATGGGAGAATTACGAAAAAGTTACGGGGGAATTACGAAAATTATGAGTTTTTCGAGAATGCAAAAACTAAGGGAAAATTGACTTTTTTAACCAAAACTCATTTTCTTACATTTTACTTTTCTTCTAAAAAACTGGCAAAAGGATAATTGTGAAAATTTTCTAGAAAAAAGAGGAAAGTGAGGATCTCATTAAAGCAAAATTTCAAAATTTTCCAGTGAAAAATCACTTCAGGAAAAATTCTGGAAAATTGACTTATTTAAGCAAAATTAAAGAAAATTCATCCTCTCACATTTCAATTTATTTCTGGAAAACTAATAAAGCAAAACTTGTGAAATTTTTCAAGGAGAAAGAAGAAAATGAGGAGCTAGCTCATTATATAAAAATTTCAAAATTTTCTAGTGAAAAATCACTCCAAGGGAAGTTCTAGAAAATTGACTTTTTAAGCAAAATTCATAATTTCACATTTCAATTTTTTTCTGGAAAATTAGCAAAGCAAAAATTGTGAAATTTTTCCAAAAGAAAAAGGAAACTGAGGAACTCATTATAGGAAAATTTCAAAATTTTCCAATAAAAAATTCTGACTTTTTCAAATAAAATTAAGGAAAATTTATCCTTTTACATTTTAATTTTTTTCTGAAAAATTTCGAAAATTTTCCAGGAAAAAGAAGAAAATGAGGAGCTCATTATATAAAAATTTCAAAATTTTCCAGTGAAAAATCACTTCAGGAGAAATTCTGAAAAACTGACTTTTAAGCAAAATTCATTCTTTTAATTTTAATTTTTTTCTGGAAAGGAGCTTATTATAGGAAAATTTTAAAATTTTCCAGTAGAAATATAACTAGTGCATAAAATATTTCTGGAAATTTTTGAAAATTTTGTCTGAAGCCAATTTTTTGACAAAATCATGAGTGCATAGCGCCTGAAAAAATCCCGAACCCGAAGGGTGAGGGATTTTTTCTTTGGTGCTATGCACGAATGGTTTTGTTTAAAAAAATTGACTAAAGACCAAATTTTTAAAAATTTCCCTTAGGAAATATTTTATGCACGTGTTATATTTTGATAGGAAATTTCCCGAGTTTGAAGTTTATTTACTATAAGTTGTGTCGAATATTTTAATTATGATGATGTGTTCTGTGATGGTGATTGTTATTGATCTTTCCCATTTAAATTGCGTTTGTCAAAAAATATACACTTTGACAGATTTCTGACATCAATGCATTTTAAACGGAAAAGCTGGTCTCAATGTCAAAAATGACAACCTAAAGGTGGGTTTCCGACGGACGCCGCGCGGCATTGTCGCATTGGAAATTGCACCCGGAAATATCCCTCTCACCAGGGATATTTCCACTTGTCAATTTTTGAAAATTACGAGGTAAATTTCCAGTTAAATATGCACAAGGGAAATTTCCAATGGAAAATCATTCTAGGAAAAATTTTGGAAAATTGACTTTTTTAAGCAAAATTCATTTTCTTACATTTTATTTTTTTTCTAGAAAAGTGGCAAAAGGATAATTGCGAAAATTTTCCAGAAAAAAGAGGAAAGTGAGGATCTCATTAAAGCAAAATTTCAAAATTTTTCATTGAAAAATCACTCAGGAAAAATTCTGGAAAATTGGCTTATTTAAACAAAATTAAGGAAAATTCATCTTCTCACATTTTAATTTTTCCATCAAAAAAAAAATGGTGCTGCAGCACCCCTCAAATTTGGAGCCTAGTTGCGCTTATGCTGACTAAACTACGCGATTTCTATAACCAATGTCATCCCAATTTATATATTATTTGCTGTTTTATTCCACATATTACTTGGCTGTGTTGCTTGCTATGGATTATTACCATTTAAAGAAATAAAAATTATGCGACGCCCATGTCTTATATTTATTCCATATGTATGCCGACTAAATGTTTTATTAGTGCTCAATTCAGATTAAAAATACTATACCTATATGTATTATTTTATTTAATGTAGAATTAACAAAATTTGAACAAATAATTCTAGCAAATAATGCAGATAATTAAAAAATTCAAATTTTAATATTTGCTTAGTATGCATGCGTATCTACAAACTGGAAAATTTCCATGAAGCGATTTCTAGCAAATGGTTAAAGATATTTGTTCCAAATGTTTTAAATGTCATTTGAAAGGAACGCAGAGACTTGAAAACCCTTCAAAGTGTTTGCAAGCCTTTCAAGTGCAGGAAAAGTTTAGCTCACGAGCCCTCAGCAGGATGAATGAGCTAATTTTCTCAACCCTTTAGTGACATAACTCACTTGTCTAATAAAAAGAAACATTAGAACCATCATTTTTATCTCGAATATATTATTTTATTTGCAGAAGTCGCATTGACAGAATGTGATGCAAAATACGGTGGCATCGATAACATCGAAAGCAGCTTTCAAGGAATGGCCAATACGTTCCTCTACAAATCTTTAGATTTCCTACTGATGGCTACTCTCTACGGAAACTATGAAAGAGGTCGTCCTGGCTTCCAAAAATTTTTCCAAAGTCTCTCTGACCAATTATGGGACGACGGAATCAACACTATTAAATACATCACCGATCGCGGTGGTGAAATGAATTTCAACAATATTCCAATCTACCTTCAAGAAGACAGAACCTGTAGTGAACCTTCCGAATTGGAAGCCATTGGCAAGGCTTTGGATAGTACGAAGAAAATGGCCAGAGTTGTTTTCGAATTGCACAAGGAAGCTTCTGGACAATATTACGATCCAGAAATCGCCCGTTATTTGGAAGACGAGTATATGGCAAAGCAGAAAGATATAATCAGGACTTTGGCAGGACATGCTAAAGATCTTAGTAGTTTGTTGGACGGACCTGATGCTCCTTTGGGACTTTATTGGTTTGATAAACACTTGCAGGAATAAGTATCTATATAATATGAGTATTGATTTATAAAGATGTGAAATAGTTAAGGTTTAATTGAAATCATTTTTTGGGATTGTCAGATTATATTGTAGAATTTGATTAAAAAAATATTAAGCTGTTTTTTTTATTATCGGATTATCTACTCCAAATTAAATACCTACACTGAGAAAATTCCCAGCAAAGAATTATTTCCTAAACTTTTTTTGGCTAAGACAGGCAGAATTTTCTCGGTACCTATAAAAATACTTTATCCACAAACATCAAATAATGGCAGTTTTATCCATTCATATGAAGCGTCTAAAGTGATACTTTATCCACTAGTGGAATAAAATAACTTTATTCCACTAGTGGAATAATGAAATTAAGAAATACGAAATTTTTATTTTATTTATTGATATTAACATTTATATTAATAGATACTCCGTTGTTTGATTTGTCTCCTATAAATTCGTTATTGTTGATAAAAAGGTGATAATTTCCATCCGCTTGAAAACGCACGTTTATGGGTGTTTTTGCAGAATTACCAGGAACAGAAATAATGGGTATCTCCTCTTGTAAGGGACACCTATTTTCCCCTTGGATTTTGTTTACAATACTATACTAAGCTTATTGGAAATGGAATCCTGAATCCGAATCCTCGATATAACTTTCAGCAACAGAGGAGCTCTTCCATCCGCCATGTGTATGTATGTATGTGATTGTGGATAAAACATTGTGTTACATTCGTGTTTTAGATGCATTTTTTCCACATTCTTGCGTGGATAAGATGCTTCCTAAAACACTTGTACAATAAATAACTATTATCCACAAACATCAAATAATGCCAGTTTTATCCACTCATATGAAGCGTCTAAAGTGATACTTTATCCACTAGTGGAATAAAATAACTTTATTCCACTAGTGGAGTAATGAAATAAAAAAATACGAAATTTTTATTCTATTTATTGATATTAACATTAACATTTATATTAATAGATATTCCGTTGTTTGATTTGTCTCCTATAACTTCGTTATTGTTGGTAGAAAGGTGATAATTTCCATCAGCTTGGGAACACACGTTTATGGGTGTTTTGGCAGAATTACCAGGAACAGGAATAATGGGTGTCTCCTCTTGTAAGGGACACCTATTTTCCCCTTGGATTTTGTTTGCAATACTAAGCTTACTGGGAATGGAATCCTCGATATAACTTTTAGCAACAGAGGGAGCTCTTCCATCCGCCATATGTATGTACCATCGTCACCAAAAATATCTGGGACAAAAATAATGCATAATAATCTCCTGGACTAATTCTACTGTCATTCATTTCAATGCATTTAATTCATAGTTTGACAAATATTTGACAATAATATTCATATAAGGTCTGTTTCTGCAGGAATCACAAACCAGTCAGAGTGAATATCATTGGTTGAAACTAGTTTTCTGACTGTTTTCAACCAATGAAATTCACTCTGACTGGTTTGTGATTTCTGCAGAAACAGACCTATTATAGTACAATAGCTAATATGATGCTGTCCCAGTTACTTTTGGTGACGATGGTACGTGTGATTGTGGATAAAACTTTGTATTACATTCGTGTTTTAGTTGCATTTTATCCACTTAAGAAAATTAAACGCTCGAACTTCGTTCTCGCGTTTAAACATTCATGCGTGGATAAAATGCTTCCTAAAACACTTATACAATAAATAACTATTATTCTATCGCGAATGGTAAACTATCATTTAATCGACTCGAAACTCGTTGTTAAAGTAACACTTTATTTGAAGTAGTGAAATCGAACGAATTTTTACCCACTCATTTGTCAATTTTACCCACTCATACGTCAATTTTACCCACTTGTTCAGATCTTTTATAATAATTATAGTGTTTTCGACAGAAATCTGTTATGTTGCATGATTGACAACATCAGAAATGTGTAGGGATGGCAAATGATTTTAATATATCGATATATCGGTTTTATCGATATATCGAAATCCCTATATCGATTTATAAATTTATCGAAGTAAATATATCGATATAAACGATATATCGATATATTTTTTTAAATTAAAAAAGATATTAACATATGAAAAACTAAGAAGGAATTTTAGCTCATTAAAAAATAAAAACACATCCTGTGATTGAAAAAAAATATTTTAATCTTGAATAAATACCTAAGCTGAGTATCTACAATTTTTTTTTAGATTCAAAGCTATTTTCACTTTTTAAGGTTATGTAAGTCAAAAACTGTTATGTATATATATTTCATAATTATTAGTTATTACAAATATTAATATTATTAATCATATTTCATAGTCATGTGGAGTAACACAAAAAATTAATTTTCACAAATTGATTCTAGAAACAAAAGTTTGGATAATCTTTTGCCAGTTAAACGGCTGCGATTTTTTGTAGCTATTTGACCAGCTTTCGAAAACAATCTTTCACTAGGGACAGACGTTGCTAGAACACAGAGGTACTTCTGTGCCAACTTATAAAGTTGTGGATAAACTGCCTTCATCTCCTCCCAAACTTCTAAAGGGCTTTCTTTCAAATTTCGCACTGGTATGGACAAATATTGTGTCAGTTCGTCAGATTTTTGGCCTTTCTTACTTTTTTTTGAATGAGCAATATTTTTGTGGGGAGCCCATAAATCAAATGTTTGCTCAGATCCTTCTGTTTGCTCTGAAAGATCCGAAGAAGAAGAAGATGATGCATCCTCCTCTGCTTGTATTGGGATAGTCATTTCATGATTCAGATGTCGAATGATATTTGACAAAGCAATTGGGTCTTTAAAATGAATGTTTTTGAATCTTGGGTCTAAAATTGTAGTGGCAGCTAGTAAAAAGCATTTTTCTGTTGTCCCAAATCTTTTGTCTAGTTCTTTTAATATGGCAGTTTTCAAAGCTTCTGCAATATTGGAATTGGTTTGAAAATTTTCATATTGAGACACCAAACACTTTGTCATCGGTATTACTTTGCTTAGGGTAATGTACATCTGTCCACTCATTTCTTTTGTAGTTTGCTCCAATGGAAGCAGAAGCTGACAAACTTGTTTTATATCTTCAAGTTCTGCAGCATTTAACATATTGGGGGCATTAACATTAGATAATATGATGTTTCCAATAAGTGCAGCAAGCTTAATAAATCTTTCCAACATATAATAAGTTGAATTCCATCTGGTTTTAACATCTAAAATTGGTTTTAGAATATTACCTTCTGGAATTCCTCTATTTTTCTGCGCTTTTCGAAGCTCGTCGCTAGCATGCACACTACGCTTAAACCAAACTACAATGGTCCTAACTTTTTCAATTAGTTCATTCAAATGTCCAGTATTTTTTATGGATTGTTCACATACTAAGTTTATAGTGTGTGCAAAACATGGCACATGTTTTGTTTTGCCCAAGAAATCTTGGCAGGCTTTAACCATATTGGCTCCATTATCTGTCACAGCTGCTACAATACGATTAACATCAATGTTCCATTCATTGAAAGTATTACTTAGCTGGGTGGCAATATAAACTGAAGTATGTGATTCCGAGAGCTCAGTTACTCCTAATGTAGCAGAATGCATTTCATGGTTTTTAATAAAATGGATAGTTATCCCCATAAAACTTTTCGTTTGCATATCAGCTGTCCATATATCCGTGGTAAATGTAAAATGTTTTATATTTTGCAGTGTATTCTTAAAACCACCGGACACTATGTCATACTTCCTGTCAATATTGTCTTTGATACAATTTCGAGTCGGAACCTTGTACAGTGGCGCTAGCTCCTTCATTAGATTTAAAAAACCTTTCCTCTCAACTGTGTTGAATGGTAAATTATCTTGGACTATAAAATTGACAATGGCTTCAGTTATTTTGACGTTTTTGGATCCACCTTCTGCAAAAGTAATAATATGACATTTATGCATTTAACGTCCTAAAGACTAAGAAACTAAATTAAAGCTTAAAGTAGGTAGGTACCTGAGTAAGAAGCAACTTGACGAATGGCTTGATTTATGGTGGGTTGTCTACTTATAGTACTTATACTTGGCTCTCTCAAAATAGTTTCTGTGGATTTACTTCCTTGGTGGGAAATTAGCAATTTTTTAGTACTGCACTCGGAACTGGTAGTACTACTAGTACTAGTACTAGGATTGGTAACAGTACTACAACAGGGGCTGATTGAAGTGGAGGCTCCTAAATTTATTTCGACGTCTGCTATTGAACTTATAGTAGATGAGGGAGAAATAGCCCCTTCTTTTTCTTTAGGATCCTTAAAAATAAAATCAATTGGGATCAATATTGTTATAAAATGTCAATAAAGTGTAGAGTAAAATCCAGTGGTTACTGAGTTACTGACCTGCATTTTTTGTTTTTTTGCTGGAATTTTCTCGGTTTCCTTGTCCTCATTTTCCTTGTCAGTACCACTGTCACAATATTGTTTGTAAACCTTGTCGTGTTTCTGTTTGAGGTGATTTTTTAAATTTGTAGTATTGCCAGAGGTTTTTAAGATTTTTGAACACAGATTGCATTTAGCTTGTTCTTTGGATATTTTAATAAAAAACCTCCAAATTATTGATTTCGGAGCCATGATTCGATAATTATTGTTCACTTTAATTGCACCCTAGGACTACGAGATTTTATAAAGATCTATTATCACTATCAGTATTATCTATTCTATCTCTCTGATTGTCTCTGAGCATAAAATCACAATAGCAAAAACAAAAAAAAACAGTTTGATTTGCAAATGCAAAGGGAAAAAAACGATACACGATACTTGCCTTGCCTTGACCTTTCAATTTGCAATCAGCTGATACACACACAAATAAAAAATTACTTTTTGAGGGTTGCGCTCAAAATAATTAATGACAAGTCGAGAGTACAACGATCTCGGATTATATTTGTCTCTCTCTTCTTCATTGCCTGAACAAAGATAGAATGATAGAAAGCTCAAAAATCAAGGAGTGTACCTGGGCCCCTGGCGTCAGTGGACTGAGCAGCGGCAGTGACATCTATTGTGGTATTCGTGTAAATCGTGTTGTGGCACATCACAGAATTTTCGAAAATCGTCGAAATAAAAAAATTGTTCACCTTATTTTTGTAAATGAAAAATTTTAGCTGTTTTTTGGTGGGTATTCGTAAGCGAAAAAAAGTCGATATATTTTCCAGTATATCGATTTTTTTCGATATATATCGCAAGCCACATATCGATACCTATATATCGATATATGTTGGATATATATCGATAAAAAATAATAATCGATATATCGTTGCCATCCCTAGAAATGTGTCAGTTTGTTAGGTACAGTTGCGA